AGTATAGCACTGTTGTTTAGAATATCATCTAAAATGTATTTTTGATATTTATACTTCTTACAACTATTAATTTTTATTTGAGTAAAATGCAATAAATTAAATTACTTTTGGTTTTATTTTTTATTGCTTATAAGAAAACTATTTCCTCAAATTTGAAAATTTATAAATATGTCACAATCTCAAAAACTCTTATGGCTATTCTTAGTGCTGAAAGAGCTACTTTAATATTCTGTTAAAATTCTATTAAAAACATTCAGTTAATCTTGAGGTTTAAATTTACTAAAACTCAATAATTTTGTATTTGAATTAGTTTCTATGCGAAAGTAGTTAAAAATGACAGTGTTATAGTTAACTTTAAATATGAGCTTGAATATACCTATAATTATGCTTTGATATTCTACCATCTAATGGTTATTATTCATTTATAGTAATCTCCTGTTGTGAGTGCTTGGAATATAGAAAGGGAATACAGAAAATATGTATATCAATTAGCCCAAAAAATCTAGTTTATATACAAGAGTGTGTAATCTGAATTAAAACTAATCCGATGGTTACCAAAATCCCATTACGTTAATATTAATATATGGCATTGTAGCTGTACACTTGGACCTCATACTATTTATAATTTATAAACTCTCTTAAAACTTTATGGCCATAAATAATTATATACCTTTATTATGCACTGTTTATTTTCCTCCAATGGGATTTAGAGCTTTTATACTTCTTTATAATGCCAATTTAATATATGAACACAAATAGATCAAACTCTTCAAAGCAAGGGAATGAAATGATTAATCAAAATTACACTTTGAAGCAATTTATATTTAAAACTAACCAAGCATGCCAATTGGAGTATTGGTTGTTTTTATCAAAATAGTTTTTATAGTGATTTAATCATTAACAATATAGTTTTCAAATAAGAAAGGGTTAAAGCTAGAGCAATTTTGTACAAATGAGAATTAAAGAAAATGTTATTTCAAAATAATAAGCAGACCAAACACTCAGTGACTTGCTTTCAGCAATACATATATCATGTTAAAAAGGTTTTAATTACATTTCATTTACTATTGGCAATTCAAAATAGTAAAACCAAACAAACAATAATAATGTTTAAATAATGTTCAATGTTTTTTATCCTGGAACTCACATACGTGCAGCTAGGGTTCTTAGTGAGATCATCTGGGCCGGATGCATTTGCAACTTGCAAAATAAAAAATTCCGCCGGCCGTGGGGCTCGAACCCACGACCACAAGGTTAAGAGCCTTGCGCTCTACCAACTGAGCTAGGCCGGCTCTTAACACTCGAAGGAAGAGAATGTCATCTGGGGCTTTATTATAAAGATCCGCCTGAAATCGGGATCGAACCCGCAACCACAGGGAAAAACAAAAAATTTCGTGGTCCATCAGGTGGCCAGAAACTTTGCCAGACCTGCGCGTCTTCTTTACGCCAGCGTCGTATTACATTTCGTGTCATTGTTTTCCCCTGGATCAAAAAATGTGGATCATACATAATATACATACCATGTGCCTGGCCTAGGTAGCACAATTAGCAGCATCCACATGTGTCTTCTTCACCATTGCTTGGGAAATTTGTACCGCTTCGCTCCATCAGAATCACGATGAGCTTCTTCCGGATCGAAGTAGCCACCGCCGCCATAGCCACACAGCCCGAATTCGCAAGCCACATTGCGATGGCACGAAGTGTTGCACCTTCCGCAGTGTCGGGAACTGGTCATGAGATCGACGCATTCTCCCCCGCAGCAGCTGAGGCCGTAGGAGCAGGCCCTGCTGCAAGCCCCGCAGTTGTTGCCGTCGCTCTGTGTCTGCTTGCACACCCAGTTGAAACAGCACACGCCTGGCCCCTCTGGATTCCTGCTTAAGTCGCTGCACACGCTCGCATTGTTGTGGCACCGCACCTCGTCCTCCTGGTGGTAATGGTGGTGGTAAAAGTTGGATCTCAAAAAGTTGGAGTGCGTCGCTGCCGGGAAGAACTTGCTGCGTTTGCTACGACTGCTGTAAGTGCCGCTGGAGCCTGCTACTACTACTAATGTTGCTAGAATTACTAGACACCATGTAGCTCGTTGGGGCATCCTCTGCTGCTTTCCTTTCTAGAACCGTCACACTGCCCCGTAGATCAGACTGCCCCTGTATAACTCGTGATGCACCGGAAATGCGATATGATTTTGCAATCCTCGAGATGTTTCAGATTTGGTGTAGAGTCCTGTAAACTGGACAAGCAAAAACATGAGAATGTCCATTGCAATGCTCGACTTACTCAAGGATTTGGAGCCAACGAGAAGCAGACGAAGTCATTGCCAATTGCTCTATCTCCAACTATGTGCCGCGAAATCGCCAGCTAGCTGCCCTGAACCTGGAATCAATTGAACAAACGCGCAGCAAACAGAAAAGACGAAGGGAAGAAAGCACTGGATACAGAGGCGGACAGCAGACCAGCACTCGTAAACAGGCATGGTTTCTTTTTCTTGTTTTCTGTAAGTAAAGATTCACGAGATGAAAAGTACCACTCTCCTACCTCTGACCACTGCCGGATCGGATTACTCAGGAAATTTATTTTCAAATCATCTCTAAAAACCAACGGAAAGCAATATAAGATCACACACCAGATCCTGACATTCCCAGCAAGATGACTTGGTAAAGTAAGAACAAAATGAGGCACATCAGCATCAGCATCAGCATCAGGAAAGCCCAAACTTAACAACTAAATCAGAGTGTAAAAAGAATGCATTATATAATACTCGGGGTAGTAGTAGACGGTGAGTGGTAGAATGAATGCCACTGCTGGCTGGCAATGAGCACGAGCATCAAGGTGACGCAGAAAGACTTTACAGGCAGGGCAGCTCGCTGCAGGAGGAGGACCAAATGCATGAAGCAAGTAAATGGAATCACTACGTGTTCTTACCTGACTGATATCAAAAGACAAAGTGGCTGATTCACTCGGCTCTCCTGCTTAAACAGGAACATCTACAGAACGCAAGTCAATACAAAAACATAAAAAGAAAGACCGACGTACCTTTGCAGCCTTTTCTTTCTGTCAGATCAGATGGTCTTTGATACAAAAGCCCACAAAGTCGTAGAGACCCAGGAAAGCAAAGCATTACCAAACCGCCTTCCCTTTGGAAGTAGCGCACTAGAGTGAAAAAGCAGACTAGCAAATTGTCCATTTGCTTATAGTAAGGAAGAAAAACAGCCAGAGCCCAGCAAGCTGCAGTAATTTACAGTTATCCCCACCCCGCTGCTCTCACTCTTCTCTCTTCCTTCTCGTTTTGTTCTTGTGCACTGACTCAAAAATTCAGGCTGCTGCTGCGATGCCACACCCTGTCTTATTGGAATCCCTCACCGAAACGTAGAAAAAAATTAAACAAAGAAAAGAGCTCTCCCACCAAGTTACTTTCTCACAAAGACGAAGACCCAAGCAAGATTAAGACGAGAAAACCATCCTAGCCCAGAGCAGGAATATCTCCATCCAAGACCTTGCTATCGCTGGTGGAATCAACGCACCTCAGCAAGCCGTAGAGCCTCAACCTTAGTTGATCGCTGTGCTTGTCCCCAGGGCTGGCACACTTGAAGGCCGCATTGTACTGCGTGAAAAGCCGGCTCACTTCTTCGCACAGCAGCGTGATGGAATCTGCCGCTGCCGCTCGGTTGGCCTCCACCGCTGCGGCTTCCAGCGCTGTGGCCGGCTTCCTCTTGCAATCCTGGAAATATTTCGCAAAGATAGACACCAGAAAAAATATTTCGATCGATCGATCGCTGTCATCGGAATAGCAGACTTACCGCGCTGGAGTCATCGTAGAGGAGATTATCGTGAACCACGACTCCAGCCGAGACAGGACGATCGAATTCCGCGCAAGAAGCGCGCCGCTTGCGGATCTCCTCCTCCTCGACCAAGCCGCTCAGTGCGCGCAAGGCAATGCCGCTGCTCTCGCCGGCTCGGCAACACATCCTCCCGGGCGCCGCTAGAGCCCTAAATTCCCAGAGCACTGGATCTGACGGTCAGTCCCTCTCCACGTGGAGGCATTTAAAATTGCATGATATTTTGACCGTTGGAATGTTTTACCTCTAGCAGCCATAGTTAATTTTTGCAAGCACGAAACTTCACTCCAAACCAAGGAAATAATATATTCGTTGCCAGCACAAAGTCCTTTTAAGTGCTTCCATGGCAGAAAAAGAAAGAATCTTATTCACAAGAACAGAACAAGCAGAGGTGGAAGAACTTTTTTCTTTCTTCCTTTTCAACTTTTTTCTTTCTTCCTTCAAACTTTACTCTCTAAAGCGAGGTCTCGTCCTTGAAAAATCCAACTGAACTCCCGGTTCTTGTGAAGAGCATGCGTTCCCAGTTTCCCAAATCTCTCCTCCGATCTCTCCGCTAGCCTCTGGAACCGCGCGGGAAGATTGCATACGTAGTCCTGTGCTCGCTGTGCCTCGCCTCTCAATCCACCCAAGCTTCCCACCTTCCAGGCTTCGATGAGATGCTCCATGATGTTGGAGTAGTCGTACGCCGTGTAGACTTTGCACTTCTGCGCCACGAACTTGTAGTCCTCGAACAAGTTCTCGTTCTCGCCGTCATGCATCAGGTGAGCCGGCATGGTGATCTTCTTCTGCATCATGTTTGCCAACGCCAGCATGGTGCCGTTTGGATCCAGCTCGAACAGCTTCTCCACCACTCTGGTGTATGCGATCTCGTGTCGCTTCTCGTCCGAGGCGATGATCCCGCAGATAGTAGCCAGCTGCGAGTCGCCATACTCCTTGGCAAATCTGGCAGTGTTGCCGTGTGATACGAAAGTCGCGCGCTCTTGGAACGACGTGTAGATGAAGCCGTTGTATGGATCATTGTCTATATGAGTCGCCTGGAAGAGGAAGATGAAGAACACAACCGGATGAGAAAAAAACAGCTCCAAAACTTGAGATTTGATCTTACCATGCCGGCACCGATGAGATTTTGGATCGTCTTCTCGATGGCTCTCATGTTGACTCTGCCTGTTAGATACAAGTACTTGTTAAGAAGATCACCATGCCTGTTCTCCTCTGCCGTCCAAGCTCGTATCCATGTCGCCCAAGGAGACGCACTCCCCCCTGTTTCATCTCTCACGCCTTCAAAGGTGTTGAGAACCGTCTGGTACGTCGGGAGAGCTTCTTCCGTGATCATATCCCCGACCAGACAAACCAGGTAGTCACGCGGAAGCTCTTTCGTCCGCTGCCTGAGATCAACCACTTCGTCCATGAAGCTGTCTGAGGATGAATCCGGCAAGAAGTCCTGAGGCTGCCAGCATTTGTTGACAGGCTTGAGCAGCGGCAACATCTTCTCCTCGGCCCATCCCTCTAAACTCTTGAACACTTGTACTTTTTCGGGAGCGACGTAGCACTTCCTGCTAGCAGACTCTATCGTTCTCGGCAAGCCGGACACGTCCACTTCCCTGCACCAGCCACCAAGAGTTTCACGAATCGATTCATGAGAAGTCTGCACAACAAACCTGGCCGCAACGAAGGCCACACTGCCGGAACATCTCACGCTTGCTCTAGGAGCCAGCAGCGACGTTCCTGGTAGCCAAACTCCAGTCTCCATGTTCGGCTCCTGCCAACACAAGGGGTTAGAAGAGCACACGGAAATAAAACATGAAGCAAACCTGTGCATGCATGCACCTTTGTCCACGTGGCCACTCCCGAAAAACTAAAACCAAGAGAACGAACGGAAAAAAAAGCGAAAAGGCAAAAACCAAAACAGCACAAAAAAAAAAGCAGTATGCATTTCACAGTTGCTAATGCCGACTTACATCACCTCGGGAAAACTTTCTCGATGAAATCCTGAAACCTCTTTGCGTACACTTTTGGATCGACTGCGGAGATGGAGACTGCGTCGAACTGCAACGATTTGTACGTGTGCTCCACCCACTTGGTGATGTCGTAGCGCTGCAAGATGTCAATAACTCCAAAGTACAGCACCACGTCATAGACTTCTCCAAAAGACTCCTCTTGACCACCGTCGTGTGGTGCCTCTCGGTCAGCTCTAGCGGGCATGTTCACGCCAAGCTGGATTCGTAGCCTTGCAGTGCCGGGAAGAAGTAAATCAACCTCTTCGTTTCCAGCGGGTTTTAACGGACTGCCCCGGACGTGAGATCCCGGGGTTGTTGCCCCTGATTCTCCCGTTGGACTAGCTCCGTGAGCTACTAGAACAAGGTTCTTGGATGGCCAATCCTCCTCTACAGAAACGGAAAGAAAAGTAAAGAACAAGAGAAGGCGAGCAAACTTGATATGACGTACCAATGTCGGACTTGTTGATTTTCTTGGGGAAGGTCACCGGTGAGAAAACAGCTGGATACTGGGGTGCTCGGAAGTGAACGCCCAGAAGAAGACTATAATCCATAATCCTCTGGGATTCCAGAAACTTTGCATCCAGCTCGATTTGCCTGGTTATAAGATGATTAGAAGCCAGACATCAATGGTAAATCATGTACCTCATGAATGTATCGCGCCAAGTAGGCTCTAGATGAAACACGAAGTCCAAGTCCAAGTCTTTCAACGTCGTGTTTTCATCAATGTCGACATTTTCCGTCGACCGCCCCAGTGACGACCCCTTCAAATCGAACCTCCGGTGTATACGAAGGTCTGTGCAGAACATGTTTCCCATTACTACAAAACGAACCTGTAAAAGCACATGTTAGACTGTAATCGCATTTAAGGACCGAGTAACTCAAACCTTTCGCCCCCCCTGAGGCTTGATACGATGAAGGCCAAAAAACTTTGTAATCAAGGTGTTCTCGTGTACAAGTACATGATCATAATAAGAAGCAAGCATATCAAGTAGGACCTGAACAGAAGCTGAGCATCCACGAAACAGAAAGTCCAATATTGCGTACCTCGACTTCCGATTTGCGCATGGTCTTGATTATGAATCGATCGTCGTGCGATAGATAGAAGACGCTGCCACTCTTGCCCGGAGAAGAAAGTTCTCGAAGAGCATCGTTTCCACAAAGAGAGAGCATATAATCAGCAGCATCGATTTTGAAAAGCTCTCTAAGGTGCCTGACATGCAACAAAAAAAACTGTACAGAGCGTCAAAAGATGAAATGCCAAATGGGAAATCGGAAGAGCTAAGGAAAAGTAGGACCTGAAGACCATCGGGCAATAATCTTTCCATTTGAAGTCCACTGACTGGTGCGAAGGCGTAAGTTGAGACCCTGCACGAGGAAAGTTCATCCTGAATCTGGCTTTCCTCCCAAAGTTTGAAGGTTCAATATCATGCTTTGGCTCAGGTGTTATCTTTCCCACAGTATACCTGAACACGACGTACAAACACGATTAAAACTCTGAAACCTCAGGATAGATGGTACCTTATTCCCAGCTGCAAATTCAGCATAAGATCATAGCTCCTGTGTCCTTTGATAATTGTTTCTCCTGGCCTTTTAATCTCTTTCACATGCTTCTTATAACGCCGCTTCGTACTTTTCGGTGTGCTCGCAACATTAGCTGGTACCTTCTTGACGATTTCATTGATCAGTACTCCCTGAACGTACTCTCTTTCCACCACTGGATCTGCACCGTGGTACTCGTCACTATCAAAAATTCTCTCCGCAGAATCTGCCTGTAATGCCTTCTCTAGTGTAGTCTGCTCAGCCGAATAAGACTTCATCGGACCAAAATCATGCTGTTGCCGGATTGCTTGATCGAAATCAAGAGAAGGAGCTCGATTCCTACGTGGTCCCGCTAACTGTTTTCCTACCGTCGCATTCCTATCAAAACCTGCAGTATCTACACTAAAGCTGCCGGGCGGATAGTAGACTCCTTTGCCATCCTTCAGCCCTTTACTCCAGTTACCATTGTAGACTGTTCCATCCGACCAAGTATACACACCGTGCCCGTTTTCCAGCCCATCCAGCCACTGCCCGTCGTAACAATCACCAGAAGCCCAAGTAAGAACTCCCCTGCCGCACATCAAACCTCCTTTCCAGTCTCCCATATACTCGTTTCCATTCGCCCAAACATACCGACCGGGACCTTCTTGAGCTCCATCCTTCCAAGACCCCTCGTAGACATCACCGTTTGCATAACGCTTCCGTCCCAGTCCATTCTTCAAGTTCATCTTCCAGCTGCCTTTGTACGTGGTGCCATCGGTCCCAGTAAAAGTTCCTGATCCATGCATGTAACCACACATGAAATCTCCCTCGTAAGTCGCCCCTGACGGCCAAGAGATCTTCCCTCTCCCTGTTTTCTTCCCCTTCCCCCACTGCCCCTCGTACATACACCCATCCGACCACAAGTACTTGCCGTCACCCTCCGGAATCCCACCTTCGAAAGAGCCGGCGTAGAAATCCCCGTTCGACAAATTCTTTTCACCTCTTCCGGACGTGCTGCTCTCGCAAAAGTCGCTGCGGCTCCCTGAAACTTCTATGCTTTCCTGGTTGTGGAGCCCCATCTGGCTCGGCTCCACCGTCACCGGCATGAGATCACCATCGTTTTCAAACTCGGGAACCACGGACGACTTTCGCTTGGGAGCCTGGAAGAACTCAAGCACTGGGTCCTTGGCGACGATGACATTCCCAGCGTGGACGTAAGTAGCTGCGGCCCCTGCGCGATCAGCAATGAATGACAGCGTCAGCACAAAAAACTGGAGAGCCCAGAAAACGTTCATCGGTTACATTCTTTTACCTTTCATCTTATTCTGCTTCCCGAAAACCATTTAGGCTAGAATGCTTAGGAGAAAACCGAGATCACCAAATTCCCTGGAACCGAAGCACTGAAATCTAAGACCTAGATGCTGATAATCGCCGGGAAAAGGAGCAAAAGCAAAGAAATTCCACTCACCGCAGAGCCGGCGACTCGGCTCCTCGCGCACTGCCGCTCCACGATGGGTCCATCGCCGAGAGCGCGCTAGGCGAACCCTTCTTCACGAGCAAGAGAACAAACCATGGGAAGCGCGGACGGCGGAGATCGTGTCACATTCTAGACATCCGACGGGCTGGACAAGGAGCCGTACGCATTGTGGAACCTTGACCTAGGGCTCCGATCAAATTAATCGTTACAATCGGACATTCTTTACCCTTCCACGTGGCACTATTGGATTGAGTGGGGTATATTCGGGATTATTGGATTGGATTGGAGCTAGGGCATGGCGACGACGTCTGGATGCTTGGTCGGGCAATGCAGGCCCGGCGCGGCCGCTGTTCAATGGAATTCCTCGCGCCCATCGAGGATCCAGTGCTCCGTCGTGGCGGATGCGGCTACAGCGACGGGTAAGCGAGCTCCCATGCGGCGGATGCGACCTCTTGCTGAAATTTGAGCTGGATTTCGAGCTTAGATTCACAGCAGGAGCTCCGGGCAGGCGCAGATCCTTTGTTGCTACGAGCAGTGCGCGGCGACAGCGTCGAGAGGCCTCCCGTGTGGATGATGCGGCAAGCCGGGAGGTACATGAAGGTATGTGTTTGGAGAGAAGCTTCATGATATGTGGATGAATTTCTTTCTTGTGTATGCAGTCTTATCAAGACCTCTGTGCCAAATATCCTTCTTTTAGAGAGCGATCAGAGAATGCGGAGCTTGCCATTGAGATCTCGCTCCAGCCATGGAAGGCTTTTAGGCCAGATGGTGTAAGGTTTTCAATTTGGTATTTCTTTTCTTCTCAGCTGCTTTGAGATTACAAGCTCATGCAGACTGACGAGCTTACCTCTTTCTTTCTTTCTCACAGGTGATTTTGTTCTCGGACATCTTGACACCCTTGACGGGAATGAACATTCCATTTGATATCCTAGCCGGGAAGGGACCCGTTATACACAAACCGATCACATCCATGGCCGATGTAGACGAAGTTACGGAGCTCTGTCCCGAGGAGGCCGTCCCTTACGTTGGACAAGCTCTATCCTCTCTCAGAGCTGAAGTAAGGTTTCCTTCTTCGATCTTTTTGGTTTTTTGATCGATAACTCTTTAGGTGGGCAATGAGGCTGCTGTGCTGGGCTTTGTTGGCGCACCATTCACACTAGCCTCGTATATCATAGAAGGAGGCTCATCCAAGCATTTCGCGAAGATAAAAAGACTAGCCTTTGGCAGCCCTGAGGTAGTGTACAGCTCCAAGATAAGTTTGCTTCTACCACTCACTCTCCATTTTGTAGATTTTACACGCTTTGCTCAAGAAACTGGCCGAGTCCATAATCATCTACGTGCGTTACCAGGCAGACAAGGGAGCTCAAACCGTCCAAATCTTCGACTCGTGGGCCACGCACCTAAGCCCGATCGATTTCGAGCAATTCAGCCTGCCATATCTCAAGCAGATAGTGTCCGAGGTGAAGAAAACTCACCCGTCGCTACCATTGATCCTCTACGCCAGCGGCAGCGGCGGCCTCCTCGAGAGGCTGGGGTCGTCCGGAGTGGACATCGTGAGCGTGGACTGGACAGTGGACATGGCCGAGGCGAGGCAAAGATTAGGCAGGGACGTAGCGGTGCAAGGCAACATAGACCCCGGCGCCTTGTTTGGCTCCAAGGATTTTATCCGGCAAAGAGTTATCGACACCGTGGCCAGGGCTGGCCGAGGAAAGCACATTCTAAACCTTGGCCATGGAGTGTTGGTTGGGACGCCCGAGGAGAACGTAGCTCACTTCTTCGAAGTTGGAAAAAGCATTCGATATTGAAAACATAAAACATACATTGGGATCTTAGTTTCGGAACACTTCAGGTTCTATCTTCTTCTTTTTGGATCACTGAGTCTTGTGTTTTCGTCGAAAATGCCATTTAGAGGTGAAGCCAAAGCTTTCTACGTAGATGCTGAAGCAACTCTTGAGATTGTTGCAAATCGAAGAAAGGTGTGGATAGCGTTTCTGTGATTTGTTTGATGGTTTCTTGATAGATATGGGCATACTACACTGTCACGGCTGCCGTGAGAAGGCGGCGTCCATGATGGCTGAATCGAGGTAAGAGGCTTTTCATTTTTCAGACGATGATATCCAGCAACTTTCTGGCACAGGCGGTTATCAATTTCGCAAAAAACCAAACAAAGCTGAACCGGGCGATGGTGAGCTCGAGTTCTTCTCCCAGATGAAGGAGCACGTCAAGCAACCACGACAAGGCACGTCACTTCATCTAAGCTAAATGTTCACTTCTTCCTTCAAAATGGAGATGATTTGATATCAAAGATGTTACAAGTCAAAGGCGAAATCCTGTCTTTGCGATCACTCGTTTTATTGGAGCAGACGAAATCCTGTCTTTGCGATCACTCGTTTTATTGGAGCAAAGACTCCAAGCTCTCTGGAACACTTCACCTTATCCACTATCCAAGGATACAGAAGCTGGCATTTTGATGTTCTATCTTGTAGATTGTCTGGTACGTCCAGGAATTCGGGCTTCAATCTCTCTGCAATATTTCCATAAAAGTTATCTGTGTGGACACCTACCAACCAGCAGTCCATCCCATCGCAAAAGAAAATCGGCGCTCCGGATGCGTTAGCCTGGCAAAAATAATCTCCGAGGAAAGTAAATCCTGCGCTTGGACTGGCGATAACGAACGATGAAATAAACGGAGGAATTGTGATGAGCAGTGCATCTTCGCCATTCTGCTGGAACGACAAGTCAACAAGGTGGAGGAACGATGCGATGTGAACCTTGTAAACTGGAGGTTAGTAAAGAGATCAATTCTACCAAATAGCTTTTTTCCTTACCTTCTTGCCAAGTAATTGGTCTTGCATGAGATTTGTGATTGGCTGCATGTAAACTGTGTTGTTGCAACCTTCAAGGTATAAGATGGCCACATCTAAATCTGCATCTTCTTTAACAACGTGAAATCTAAAAGCTCTAGCACGTGGTTTCCCAGCCGAATTATAACAAGGGAAATAAGCAACCCAAACCTCTTCTTCATTGTTTGAAACTGCTTTTTCGACCCTTTCGTTTGAAACTTGTTGCCCCCCCTCAGTGTTGTGATCCTCATCGGTATCCTCATCGGTAACACAATGTCGAACTGTAACAGCGTATCCTTTTGCAAATAAGGCACAAATCCCTTTAATTAACAAATGTAAATATCATAAAAGCCAAACCAAACCAAAACATACCACTAGAGTTGATCCAAGAGAGTCGGGAGTCTTTGGATTGAAGGCTCTTAAGGTCCACCTCACTTCTCATAGTCAAGATTCTTCCGACACAGCAGCGAGCGTGTTGAGGAACTGCTTCTTCTGACCATCCTAACGGGCGGACATACAATAGCTTTCCCCGACCTTGCCCTCCAACACCATGTCTGCCAGACGAAGAAGCTCTCCCTCGTCCTGCTCCAGCCCTTGATGATTCTCCATATCGTCCAGATGAAGAAGCTCTACCTCCTCCCACTCCAGCCCTTGACGATTCTGCCTGTCGACCATAGCCAGACGAAGGAGATGATGCCGGCACAGAAGACGATTTTCCATGGCCCTGTTCTGCTGCTACTCCTTTTCCACGCCCCTGTTCTTGTGCTGCTCCTGTTGCTTTTGCCGTTGCTGGTGACGATCCTGGTGAAGATGAAACTCCTCCTTGATCCCCCAAAGAAGACGATTTTCCATGGCCCTGTTCTGCTGCTACTCCTTTTCCACGCCCCTGTTCTTGTGCTGCTCCTGTTGCTTCTGCCGTTGCTGGTGACGATCCTGGTGAAGATGAAACTCCTCCTTGATCCTCCAAAGAAGACGGATTTTCCCCTCTGGACACCATTCCCGCTCCTGGAGAAGACGGAGCTGCTTGACCCCGCAAAGAAGACGCCTTTTCCCTTCCAGGCACTGCCACTTCCATTCCCGCTCGTGGAGAAGACGAGGCTGTTCCTTGACGCCGCAAAGAAGTCGATTTTTCCCCTGCGGTCGTTGCCGCTGCCATTCCCCCTCCCAGAGAAGGTGATTTTTCCACTTTGCCGGTCATTGCCGCGCCTACCGCTCGGCCAGATGATGGAGCTGACGCCCCACTTTTTCCCGGCACCGAAGAAGAGCTTCCACGGCCTGCTGGTACTTGCCGCGATCCCCCGGCTTCCTTGGAAGTCGCCATTTTTCTCCTTTCTTCCCCCCCTCTTGCCACGGCTGCTATTTCTCCAGCCGGCGCTATTGGCTCCGATGCTTCTGATTCTGCTGCTGCGCTTGGCGTGGATGAAGCGGCCGATCTCCCTTTCGGCGCCATTGACAAGCAAAGCCCCTAGTTTTGAAAGAACGGCAACTTAAAACCCTAGCGCTTTTAACTTTGTTTTATTAAAGGATAGAGGATTAGACTTTTAAAGATCTCTGTCCGAGACCCCACTCAATCAACTGCTTTTATCTCCGCAAGGACCCGATCTCCAGGACGCACTGACCGTGCTTGATCTTAAGAAAACTACGGAGAAAAGAAAAAAGAGTATGCTAACTCGCTCGCATTAATCTGTGACATCAAATGATGCCGCCAGCGATCTGGAAACGAGCTTCTTGCTGTGCTAAGCATGACGAGCAAACGATCTTGTATATCCGCTGTCCCTTGCATAATGCTAGTAGAGAATAGAGCTAGAATGAAGTGAGACACAACCGTGTACCTTGTTGTGGAGGCATGGGCGATTATGTTGCACTTGCAACGGCAGACCCGTCGACTTGTGCCACAGCAAGACAGGACCACCACCACTCCAAACTGCAAAGCGAAATGTTACTCTAGATTTTGAAGGCAAACGAAATCGAGAGCTTACCTCGTCTGCCAGTTTCTGTAGGCTTCTTAAGAACGTAGCAGAGGTCGAAAAATCGGCCAGATACAGAGCAGTCGCCTCTCATCAAGACAAACCTGCGAGGAGTGCTTAACATATCAAGGAAAATGGTTACCTCGATTCATGTGATTGATGATCAGTGTTGTATGCTCTCGCCTAGGCAATACCAAAACATCTGCTTCAGCCCATGCAAATGCAAAGCAAACGATCATACGAGATCACGAAAAAGAAAGAAAAGCGTGATCCAACCTCTCGGCGACTTGCAACAATCTCTGTGGCCTGAAAGTTCCTTCGGCATCATGTACAGTGCTTTGTCTTCACCGCCTCCTTGATCTAATGGCAGCTTTTACATAGACACAAAACTCAGTGATCCGTGAAGTCAAAATGAAGAAGATACATACCTGACATGTTACACAAAGCGTGTGATACAGCTGAGTCTTTCCAGTCCGAAACTCTCCATACATCTCAGTTATGGAGCCGGTCTCAATGCCCCCTTCCAGGATCTTATCGAGTTCTTGGACCCCGATGTTATTTGGATGATCTCGGATCGCTGCTCATGCATTTGTGCCGCACTTGTGAATCCCATCGGAACAAGCTTGGTAGCTACGCAAGTTCCATAGAACAATGAGAAAAAAACAAAACAAAACCAAAATGTACATACCCGCTTCAGTGATCTTGTCGACCTTAGCCTCGCTTATGCCTTTGATCTTGAGCAGCTCCTTCTTGGGCGAATAGGCCACCGCTTCGACGGTACAAAACTCTGCCTCTCGAAGCTTCTTGATATCCACCGCGGAAAGGCCACAGTGCTGCACACAGGGAGATTTCTGGAATAAGCGCCGCCCGATCGATCGGTCGACACTTACCTGGAGCTGCTCCACGAGCGATGGCCCGTGCTGGACATCCGGCTGCTCGTACATTCATCGCCGCAGCGCCCTTGTCCATGGCGCTCATCGCCGCATTGGCCCTTCCACGTGCGTAGGGAATATACCCCGCAGCCCTTACCGTTGCTGCTTCTTGGCGGGGATAGAAATTCATCGCTGCTCGATTTGTGAGCAATTGAGCTGCTCTTTCGCCGCATCTCCGAGATCTTCGTGACGAGATCCATGGCCTTGATCCTCCAGAGAGAGGCGCGACTGGTAGTGAGTCTCCTGGCTCGCGGCCACAGATCTTCGCCGGCGCGAAGAGCCTATAGATGACGATCATGCTGAAACCACGGCGATGTTGGCCCATTTTGAGCGCCGCATGTCCACCTGGTAGAACTTGGACAGGATGAGGCGGCCGGGAATCGCTGGCAGAGCAGGGAACTTGTTCGAGAAACCACCGCTCTAGAACTCGTTTTGAGAACATATGGAGGCTGAGGTAGGAAACCGGGGACTTCCAGAAAACCTGTTGAAGAACCAGGCTACGAGCATGAAGCCACGAGTTTTGAGTAATGTTTAATTTTCTTTGGTTTCTTTATTCCCAATAGTGATATATCTTATTTATACTCATTTTTCAAGGTAGCTATCAGTTTCATTTACGGGTTATAGTCCACACATTTTTCTTTCACTCTTTTAAAACCGTTAATATTTTAGAAGATCTAAATACTGTAAGGAATATTTCCTGAATATCCAGGTAATATCTTGCTCTATATTAATTTTCTTGGTGCTGATCTGTTCTTCCTCCTCGGAGGTTCTTGAGAAGCAGGAGGATCTTGAGGGAGATCTTTCTCAAAACCTGAAAGAAAAAGAAAAAGAGGTTTAGATGTCACATTTTAAGATTTACTCACTTTCGAGGGGATGAGCCTCGTTCCATTCATCAATGGGTGTCTTCCAGGTCACTGGAGCAAACTGGACGACTCGGTTCAGATGGATGGCAGCTTGTTTGCCTGCAAGTGCGTTTAGGGTTTAGTGCGCAAGGGAGAGAAAATCTTACATAGGAAGACTTCACGCATGCATTCCGAGGCATTAGAATGGAGTTTTGCTCTGTGAAACACCTTGTCCAGATCTGCAGTCTTTTGACATTGAAGATGTCTGCCATGAAAAGATTGCAGCTTGCGCTTCCTGTCTGTGTCTCCTCTACCAAGCCTCCCAAGGAACGTATTCGTGACAACGCCAGCCAAGATCCCACCATCGTCAAACACGGGAGCACCTGTGTCTTGCACAGCCGACGCAGGTAGAAAAGCTTCTGGATCGATGGAGAAGACGTTGACAAGATTCATAAGCTCATGACTGCCGAACGTGTACAGCCGCTCGAACGGAAGATTGCCAGCTTCCATGTTCAAACACCCTTCCAAAGCTTGTAAGCAATGGGCTTGCGGCTCCAGGCACACGACCGAGGATGAAAGGCGAGTACCAACCTTGCACTCATAGGAAACTCCTCCTTTGATGCGTGGAAAGCTCACCACGATCGCCTTTCCTTCTGCCTTGCGACCACCACAAAGGATCTCGTCGATGCATCGAAGAGCTGTGATACAGCTTCCATCTGGCCTGATAAGTGTCACCATTCCCTTGCAATTCTTGACGCTGGAAGCTTCTGCCTTGCTGGTTATGTGTACTGTCCCGACGAAATTGGCCACTTCCTCTCGCAAGACACTCGGGTTGCCAACCAAGTCTTTGATCGAGTACGAATACATCCTTGATCCATCATAAAACTCTTTGAACAGCGCTTTCTGGCACAGCTTGGAGAGAGCGATGAGGTGATCTGCTCTCTTCCGCTGCTCGCGAGCTCTCGCAATTCCAATCCCGAGCTTCGTCTTGGCCAATGCCGCCTCTGCTTCTTCCTCGGAGGGCCGATTCCTCTTACCCGTGATGACGAAGGGACTCTGCTGGGACTGGCCATCTCCATCGCCATTGGGATCGGGAGCGATTTGCTCCATCGTCATCACTGAATTCCCATTCGCGTCCTTGAAGAGAGCGATCTGACCTATACGGAGTGTGGCGGCATCCAGTCCCCAGTGTGCCGCAATGCTGTCCACCATCAGATGCTTCGAATCGTGGAGAGGAACGCGCAGCGCCTCGCCTTCTCCATCCTTCGTCACCCAGACGCAATCCATGGAAAGAGCCCCCCTAATAACACTATTATACAGCAAATCATGTGTTATTGCATGTAACATGCAATATATTATTATAATTTTTCGACCTTCTTAATGTTAGATAATTTAAATACTTATTATATATATATGTCCTTAAGATGGTTGCATAGAGACAAAGTAAGTTCTATTTGGGTAAGAACTAAAATCCTGGAAGCTACATTAGTAGGTTTATGGCTCTTTGGAAGTGCAATGGAAAAAAATTGCCATTTGGTCACTGCTAAGGCTCGGCTCATTCATTTAAAAGTGAGTAAAGCTTTATATATTTTTTATTTTTCCTTATAAACAGGGGACGATCGACAGTCGTTAGGGCTAGTTAGGGCAGGAGCAGCTATGGGGGCGGAAGTGAAGGTCTCAGAGACGCGCGACCTCACTCGCATCGAGCGCATTGGCGCGCATTCTCACATTCGAGGTCTGGGCCTGGATGATACGCTCGAGCCGCGTAATGTGTCGCAGGGTATGGTTGGGCAGAAGCCCGCGCGGCGCGCCGTGGGCGTCATCTGCAAGATGATCAAGGAGGGCAAGATCGCCGGACGCGGCGTGCTGCTCGCGGGGCAGCCGGGCACTGGAAAGACCGCGATCGCCATGGCAATGGCAAAATCCCTGGGCGAGGAGACGCCCTTCGCAATGATGGCCGGGAGCGAGATATTCTCGCTGGAGATGAGCAAAACGGAGGCGCTGACGCAGGCATTTCGCAAGGCCATCGGTGTGAAGATCAAGGAGGAGACGGAGATCATCGAGGGCGAGGTTGTGGAGATCCAGATCGATCGTCCGGCCACGGCCGGGGCGGCGTCCAAGTCCGGGAAGCTCACGCTCAAGACGACCGAGATGGAGACCGTGTATGATCTCGGCAGCAAGATGATCGAGGCGCTTACGAAAGAGAAGGCCCAGAGCGGTGATGTGATCGCCATCGACAAGGCCTCCGGGAAGATCACCAAGCTCGGCCGATCGTTTGCTCGCTCCAGGGACTACGATGCAACTGGAGCACAGACTCGATTCGTCCAGTGCCCCGATGGCGAGCTCCAGAAGCGCAAGGAAGTCGTCCACGTTGTGACTTTGCACGAGATCGATGTGATCAACAGCAGGTTAGTACCACCTTTCTTCTCATCTCTTCCAAGTCTCTGGAGATGTTCTTGAACGGGTTTCTTCTTCCAGGACGCAAGGATTCCTCGCTCTCTTCGCGGGTGATACCGGCGAGATTCGCTCGGAAGTAAGGGAACAAATCAACAACAAAGTCGCCGAGTGGAGGGAAGAGGGAAAAGCCGAGATAGTTCCGGGGGTTCTCTTCATCGACGAGGTACACATGCTAGACATGGAGTGCTTCTCGTTCCTCAACCGAGCGCTGGAGAACGAGATGGCCCCAATCCTCGTCGTCGCCACCAACAGGGGCATCACGAAGATCCGAGGAACGAACTACAAGTCGCCGCACGGCATCCCGCTCGATCTCCTGGACCGGCTGCTCATAATCTCGACTCAGCCTTACACGGAGGACGAGATGCGACGGATTCTGGACATCCGGGCGGAGGAGGAGGACGTGGAGATGGCGGAGGAGGCCAAGGAGCTGCTCACCAAGATCGGACAGGAGACGTCTCTCAGGTATGCGATCCATCTCATCACAGCTGCGGCCTTGGCTTGCCAGAAGCGAAGAGGAAAAGAGGTGAGCATCGAGGACATCAGTAAAGTCTACTCGCTCTTCATGGACGTGAAGCGATCAACGCAGTTCCTTATGGAGTACCAGGAACAGTTTATGTTCAACGAAGTCCCCGACACCAGCGAGATGGTGGAAGGCTAGAAATCAAATTTTGCGACACCTGCGACGCAGCTTTTCTACGTTGGTTTTGTTTGCGAAGGATTAGAAATGAGAAAAGCTTTAGATCATTTGAAGTATAGCTTTTCTACATTGGTTTTGTTTGCAAGGGATTAAAAATGATATCTTTGAGAAACGTTTTTAGATAATTTGAAGATGTTTTATTTGATTTGATCTTAGAGGCTGTGTGCCTCGAGGCCCGAGTGGAGGAGGGGATCGCTGATAACTTGCGGTTTGAACGCGTGCTTTGTATACTCATTGAAAAAGTTGGCATACAGATCATAGCGAGCGGTCATCCGGAAGCCCCATTTGTCTCGGACTTGCTGGCACAGATTCAAGTCGGCATCCACGACCATGAGCCCGTCCTGGAGCCTCGAGAGGCTCGGCGTGCACGAAGAGTCCGGGGCCGCCACATAGCTCGACCCGTAAAAGTGTCCAAACCCCTTGTGAGCCGGCTTCCCGTCACCCGACGTGAAAGCTCGCGGGAAAACCTCGGTGCCAACCCGGTTGATCGCGGCCACGAAGTAGCTGTTTGCTATTGCAGCGTTTCTCGCCTGGACAATGGATGGATGATCCAACAGAGATTTTTGATTGCGATGAAGGGAAAAAAGAGTTTTTTCGTGCTTACCTCGATCGGCCACATTGGCTCGCTCAAGTCACCCACTGTTGCCGAGGGATTAAACACGATCTCCGCTCCGTTCATCCCAAACGCCTGCCAGTTGAGAGTGTGGTGCCTCCCGTAGCATATGTTTACCGCGATCTTTCCATACGCGGTCTCAAACACTGGATGGCCCGTATTGCCTTCCATGTAGTACGTGCTCTCGTTGAAGTCTCCAACGCGAGGGATATGGTTCTAGCAAATGGAGGAGGATTTTCAGAGACGAGAGAGAACAGAGAAAGAGCCTGACCTTTCTGTGCTTTCCAATCACGTTTCCATTGTTTCCAATCACCACGGCCGTGTTCCACAAGGTTCCACCGTGGACTTCGTCGCGCTCCAGGATGGGGCTGATGATCACCATCTTAAACTTGCAAGCGAACATTTGCAAGAACTTCGTCGACGTGCCTTCCTCCGCGCTCTCGGCAAACTCGCACCATGTTTTCTCCCGCGTACAAAACGCGAAAGGCATCGTCCAAGCCTCCTACATCGAGAAAAGAAGAAAGATGGGTGTTGAGATGGAAAATGCAAAAAGCTTCCCTTCACCTGCAAGCAAAGTATGTTGACACCGGCAGTTCCAGCAGCTTCGATCAGATCCCCGACTCTCTTCATGATGGCTCGCTTCTGATCCGCAAAAGGAGCATCAGTTGGGAGAACTATGGCGTTCTGGATGACGCCTATACGAACAATACGAGGAGCTCGCAACTCTTCCTCGGCAGCAGTAAACCTGTAAGCCTTCAAAGAAGACCCACATAAAAGTTGGTCTAGAAAAACTTTGAAAAAGAAAATAAATAAGTACCTGGAGGTCAAAGTCGGCAGCAGTAGACATTGCCATTACTGCTGGAGGCAAAGGCAGCATTCCTACGACACTCCCATTGTTTAATCCCAAGATCATCCTGCTTGCTTCCTAGGATCAGTGTTATCATCTGACAAAACGGAGAAACAATAAAGAAGAACAAAACTCTTTTTTACCTTGAAAACACCCGGTGGAAGATGATGTTTGAGCAGCCTATATAGCGAATCCGAGCCACCATCCTGAGGAACATCGCCAAGAGCAACCACGCCACCTCCAACTCTCTCCAGATCCTCCACATCGCAGGCCTGCTCGTCTCCGCTCAGCTCTCGATCCGCGGCTCTCTTCAAGAAAGGAGTCGTTCGCTTCTTCTTCATGAGCCCAAACAAGCTGCTCATCTTCTCGTAGAACACCCACGTAGAATTCCCCATCCCTGTGGTGCTCGCCTTGAGCTGCTCGTTCTTAAACTTCCGCTTCATCTTGTCGATCTTGCTCTTGAGCTGCAGCACGGTGCGCAGCGTGCCACCGCAGCGCCGGTAGAGCGACTCGCCAACCTCGGCCCACTCGCGATCGCTCAGCCCGGTGCAGCCACCACTCCTCGTCTCGATCCACTTCTCGTAGTAGATGTCGAGCAGCGCAAACGCCTCCTTGTCCGTCCATGCAGTGCACGGAGCGCGCTTGCGAGCCGAGAGCGCGACTTTGCTGCCGCACTGCGCGACCTCCTCGTCGTTGAACTCGTCGTTCTCTTCCTTTGGATGGAGCTCGTCGACGTCATTTGGATCCATGGAGGAGCAGTGCACCACTCTCTCCTCGTCGTGAATTTCCATCGCAAAAGCCAGTCTTGCAGATCCCTTTGTCCTCCTGGAAGAAAAGGAGATGGGCCGCTAAGCCCCGCGAAAAAAAAGGGAAAGAAAGAAAAGGAGAGGCTCGAATGAAAAGAATGCATGAATTCGTGGAGATGAGATGGATCTCTTGGGCGGAAGAACCGTGACGAAGTTTTTTTGGCACGAGGAACCATCGCCCAGATCTATAACAAAACTGGCACATACCTAAGAAGCGAACGCCCGGCCCAGTGCTGTATTTCGCCCCTCCAAAACGCTCGGCAAAACGCTCGCGAGCCCCAAAAACTCTTTCTCTTTCCGGGCCCGCTGGGATCGAACCCCGAACCGCACGCCACGCGGACAAGTCAATGTGGTACACGTCACATCAAGCGCGTCCTGGCGCCACGTGTTCACCACCTAGATGGCTTTTTAGGGTTCTTGGCGAGCGCAGCGCGCGCGAGCTGGGGCCGGTGGGTACGATTGGAAGGTACTTCTCTAGGTAGCATCTGGCCGCCGAGGCATTTGAATTCGCGTGGGCGAACGATTAGAGAGAGGCTTTATCTTTTCGTTCTCCCCTCTGGATGATGGTGATGATTTTACCTTGGCTCTTTAACTCTTCCAGTACCCGATCCCTCTTTTCCGAGTCCTTGGAGTTTCCATCGCTTCTGAGGCATGATGGCTCTCACATCTCGCTCGCTCTCGTTTCTCCTTTTTCGCTTTATCTCGTAGAGTCTTGACGAGCAAAGAAAAAAGAGGAAAGTGGGTAATGGCTTGCAGCAGCTCGTCAGGATCGCGGAGACCCAGCGCTTGCCTGCTCGATTTCGTCGACGAGCACATTCTGCTCGAGGTCCTGGGAAAGATCTCCGACAGTTTCGACCGGAGGAGCTGGCGGATGGTCTGTAGAACTTTCTACAAATTGGAGTGTAGTGTGCGCAGGCGGCTCCAGCTTCTCCGGGCCGAGCTCCTCCCCCAAGCTCTCGATCGATACGAGCGCTTGGAGGAGCTCGACTTGACGTGCTGCGCCGGTGTCACGGATGAGAATCTCATCCATGTCGCGGATAAAGCTGGGAAGCGGCTGGCAGCCATCTATCTTAACAGGATCTGTGGGTTCACGAGCACTGGCCTGCGCTACTTATCTCAACACTGCCTCTCGCTCGTAGAGATGGATCTTAGCTATTGTTCTTATGTGGAAGACGATGGACTTCTCGGCTTAGCTCGGCTCAACCGGATAGAAAAGCTTAAGCTCACTGGCTGCATTAGAGTCACAGACATGGGATTGGAGAGCTTAGCAGCAGGATGTCACAGGCTGAAAACTCTCGTCCTCAAAGGCTGTGTGGCGATCACTGATGCTGGCATTAAGCTCGTCGCTGCTCGCAGCGAGGAGCTAATGATCCTTGATCTTTCCTTCACTGAGGTAGTGGCATGTCTTTTTTTGTTCGTTCTTTTTTTATTTTCTTTCGAGTAGCTTTTGTACTGTAAAGCTATCATTTCTTCAGGGTGCTAGCTAAGTGTCTCTGCTTTTGCAGGTAACGGACGAAGGTGTTAAGTATGTTTCGGAGCTCAAGGCACTGAGAACTCTAAATCTCATGGGCTGCAACAATGTTGGAGATAGAGCTCTTTCGTATCTGCAGGAGAACTGCAAGTCTCTTGTGGTAAGACTATAGCACAATATTCCTCTTTGGTGATTTCATTTCGGTGTGTGAAGGATTTGGACGTGTCTCGTTGTCAAAACGTGAGCTCTGTTGGGATTGCAGCATTGCCAACGTTGCTCACCTTACATCTCTGCCATTGCTCTCAGGTTCTTGCTCTTCTTTCCCGATTCTTTCTGAGATAAATGCGAGACAAAACTCTTACCTTCGTTCCAGGTAACTGAAGACGCTTTCCTCGACTTTGAGAAACCGAACGGCATACAAACGCTGCGGCTGGATGGCTGCGAATTTACGCACGACTCGCTCGATCGCGTCGCGGCGGGATGCCAAGAACTCAAGGAGCTCAGCCTGTGCAAAAGCCGAGGGGTGACGGACAAGCGCATCGATCGACTTATCACGTCATGTAAATTCCTGAAGAAGCTCGACCTTACTTGCTGCTTCGACGTCACTGAAATCTCGCTCCTGTCTATCGCCAGGAGCAGCACCTCCATCAAGAGCCTCAAGCTGGAGTCGTCCCTCATGGTCACCGACAACAGCCTTCCTATGGTTTTCGAGAGCTGCCATCTTCTCGAGGAACTCGATGTCACAGATTGCAATCTTACAGGTGCTGGTGAGTTTTCTCATACCGGTGGTTCTTCCTTGTTTTTAACTCGCGTGGTTTCTTTTTATCTTCTTTTTTCCAGGGCTTGAGCCGATTGGAAATTGTGTCCTTCTCAGGGTCTTGAAGCTGGCATTTTGTAACATCTCCGACTATGGGATTTTCTTCGTTGGAGCTGGTTGTCACAAGCTTATGGAGCTTGATCTCTACAGGTTCTCTCTCTTAAGTTTTTACTTGTAAAGAGATTAATTTGATCTCGCGCAGGTGTCGATCTGTCGGAGATGCCGGAGTGATCTCGGTCGTCAACGGCTGCCAGGATCTGAGAGTACTGAACTTGTCCTACTGCTCTCGAATCTCGGACGCGTCCATGACAGCCATAGCTCGCCTCAGCAAGCTCAGCCAGCTAGAGATTCGAGGATGCACACTCGTCACTTCCGACGGCCTCACGCAAGTCGCGGCGGGATGCAAGCGGCTCGTAGAGCTAGACATCAAACGCTGCACGAGAATAGGCGATCCCGGACTTCTTGCGCTAGAACACTTGTGTCCGGACCTGCGACAGGTTGATCTCTTTAGTTCTTCGAGTTCTCAGCTTTGTTTCGTTCTTCCAGATCAATGTGTCCTACTGCCCGCTCACGAACAACGGGATGATGGCGCTCGCCAAGCTCGGCTGCATGCAAAACATGAAGCTCGTCCACCTCAAGAACGTCTCCATGGAATGCTTTGGAAACGCGCTGCTCAACTGTGGAAGCCTCAAGAAGGTGAAGCTTCTTTCCTATGTCAAGCAGTCCTTGGCTGCGGGGGTGGTGGAGCAACTGGAAAATAGGGGGTGCAGGCTGCGATGCATGGACAAGCCAGATTCATAGGACCTGTGACTAAGTAAAAGAAAACAAAGGCCTTAGTTTTTGGAGCATCAGAGTAGACAAGCATTGTTTCTCTAGACAAGTACAGCTCTAGGAGCTGATCTTCTAGGAGCTGATCCGGTCTTGGATCTCCTGCTTGGAAACTCTTGAGGGAGATCCTTCTCAAAGCCTAGAAAAGAGATATAGATGTTAGATTTCCAGATGTAAACTTTCTACTTACTTTCAACTGGATGAGCTTCCTTCCATTCATCAATCAGTGTCTTCCACGTCACTGGAGCAAACTGCACAACCCGGTTCAGATGGATGGCAGCTTTTGCCCCTGCAAGTGAATGTAGTAATCCAATAACACAAAAATAGAAGAGGATCTTCCGAGGCATTGCGATAAAGTCTTGCGTGCTCAAACTCCTTGTCCAAGTCTGCAGTCTTTTGGCATTCCAGATGCCGCCCTTGAAAAGATTCCAGCTTGCGCTTCCTGTCCGTGTCTCCTCTACCAAGCTTCCCAATGATCTTGTTCTTCTTCTGAGACTATCACTCGTTTACTCGTCGTCATCCACGAAGGAATGGTTTTACCGAGCATATCGGACACGGACATGCTTATGGTTGCCGACAAAAGAAGCACAAGCAGCACATCCTCGTTGGGATCAATCTGGAAGTAAGCTTTCACTTACGGTTTCTTAGAATGAGATAGATCGTGTTTGTAACACCAATCAAGCTTCCTCCATCGGCAAACACGGGAGCACCGAGGTCTTGCACAGCCGACGCAGGCAGAAAAGCCTCTGGATCCACCGAGAAGACGTTGGTAAGATCCATAGACTTGTGGCCACCAAACGTGTACAGTCGCTGGAACAATGGAAGAGTGATTACTTCCATTTTCAAGCACCCTTGAAATGCTTGCAAGCAGTGGGCTTGCGGCTCCAGGCACACCACCGAGGAAGACAGACGAGCACCAACCTTGCACTCGTAGAAAACTCCTCCTTTGATGCGTGGAAAGCTCCACGCTTCTTCCACCTTGTACTAAACAGTGAGTCTACCCTAAAATCTATCTTTGCGAAATGTCTCCTCATCCCGGCTTGCTGCATCAGTGCACTGTCCATAGCCGAGTTCCCATGCGCAATCTATAGAGCTGGATTTCCTAGAAACACAGCAGGAGGTTCGGGCAAGGGCAGATCCTTTGTTTGCTGATGTCAAGGTTTTTTTGAACCAGGTAGAATGCAGGCCCTTTTTGCTTATTTGGATTCCCATAGAATTTTTATTTTACTATGACAACATTATTCTGATTATATAGCTTAGAATATTGTAGTTTCTTCCTTTCAATATTTATTTTTTTTACCAAAGAATAAGAACTGTATAATCCTTTTATTATACCATAATATATTTTCATTGCATTTCGTGTCAATTCAATATGATTTATATGAACTCTAGTAATTTAATCAATAAAATTTGGGAGTGATTAACTATATAATGAGTGAAGTTCAACTAATTCAAACACTCTGAATCGTAACCAGCCCAACAATCACTATATATAATTGTTCATAAAATAACAATATTAAATTATTAGTTAATAATGAAAATAATAGAAATAGAACTTACTTATATATATTAGTTAAGTTTGTAATAAACATTTAATGTGAATCACATTCAATTTACCCATTGACGTTTTACTCTTCTACCATGATTATATTACCACTTACTAAACTTTCTTTCATCAATTTCCACAATTCTTCCTGGACTGACAATCTTTTGACTATCTCATTGTAATATGATAATACAAATATCATAACAAAAATTATTCAAATTCATTATTATGTGCTCATTTTTAATATTATACTTAATATGAGTTTGATTTTGTGGCATTTTAATGCATTAACAATACATCACTTTAATCATTTGAGTAAATGTGAAATTACTATGTGCAAACTAAGAGATCTTGGGGTATTATAATTTTTACAATTCCACTTGAAGCCTTCTTTACAACTTCAATTATCAAGTTGATATCTCATTTGTCAATAACATCTTTTATATTCTCTCTCTTCTAAAAGAAAATCAATTATAATACAAAATGTATTATTATTAGTTTTTCAAATAAGACTAGAAAAAGAAAAAATATTATTTTAAGCATGATCTACATATTTCAATCTAGTTAGAATACTTAAGAGAGTGAATAAAATAAGAAAGAAAATATAGAAAGGAACAAAAACATAAAA